GTCTGAAGGCTCAGGCAGGAGGATCCAGAGTTCAAAGCCATTCTTAGCAAAAGCAAGGCACTAAGCAACTCAGTGAGACCCTGTATCTAAATAAAATACAGAATAGGGCTGGGATGTGGCTTAGTGGCTAAGTGCCCCTGGGTTCATTCCTGGTTGCCCCTCAGCCCATTGCATTATATGATAGTCAATATGTATCAAACAAATATAAGGAAAATAATTCTTGAACCAGAAGTAGTGGCACATACCTGTAGTTCCTGCTGCTAGGAGGCTAAGCAGTAGGATCACTTGATCCAAGTATAGGTCCAACCTGGGCAACACAGTGAAAACTTGCYTCAAAATATATATTTTTAAATGATTTATGTATAGCTATAGAAGGTAACTATACAAAGCCAAACATTCATTACCACCTAGTTTTGACCCTAGTTCCTTATCTACTCAAATGTCATTTTGGCRTCTCATCTTTATCACCTAAGGGAATTTAAGTTGTTCTATGCTCCTGTTGAACCTGATTTTATTTCTTGAATTTGAGACATTCTCTGAGTGTGTGGTTCTATCATTCTGGGGCATTTGGCAGTTCTATGATGTATTATACTATTAAGCATTTCATACGCTTATTGAAAAATAGGCCTTCTCTTTTGTAAAGTATTCYTTCAAACATGATTTTGAGTTTATTATCTTTTTAATATTTCTTTTAAAAATCCCTCATATACTATGGATCTGAGTCCTTTGTCAGATAAATGTACTGATGAATTGTTTAATCAGAGGCTTATTTTTTAATCTTCTATTTCTCTCATTAATCATTTGTTTTATATTTGGCCAATTCATTTTTAAATATTTTTTGGTTGTAGATGAATACAATATCTGTATTTTATTTATTTATTTTTATGTGATGCTGAGTATTGAACCCAGTGCTTCACACATGTGAGGCAAGTGCTCTACCACTGAGCTACAGCCCCAGCCTGGCCAATTCACTTTTTAATTCTTAATCTCCTATTCTTTTCTGCCTTCTTTTATATCAATCAATGATTTTAATTATTCTATTATCTTACTTCTCTTGAGACATTTGTTTCATTTGTTAGAATAAGTCCTTTAGAGTTTTTAGATAGAAGTTACCAAATGACTCCTCAATWTAATATACACTATTTTAAAGTTGGTTCTTATTTCCATTTAAAAATCTTATAAATTTTTAACTCTATACCCAGCACTTTGTTTTGTTATTAACACATATTTYACTTTTATATAAATATATACTCTAGGGCTTCAATATGATGGTTTCCCTAAACAGTATTGACCAACTTGATGGTTTTAGTAAGTTTTATTTAAATTGCACCATTATGGAAGATTTAAATTATAAAGTAAATTAATGATGACAGTAAATTTAACATA